GGCGAAGCCCGTCTCTGAACTTACGGGCCTTTCTCTCCTCAGTGTCAACCACATGCCGGGCAAAGGCACTCAAACGGGTGAAAGCCCGAGCATACTCATCGACTGTAGAGGCATCCTGCTTAATGTCATAGAACTCTCGCTCCTTCTGGTCACGATAGCTCTTGGGAAAGTACTTGTCCGTAACTATCTCCTTCATCTCACCCAAGTGAGGGTAGTCCACTCAGCCTCCGGCCTCAGAAGCCAATAATCAGTCCACCAATCGGCGGCATCACCCTCCATCTGGTATTCGGCACACTCAATGCGCTGAGCATCTGAGCATCGGAGCACGGTAAAGATCCTTTCCAGTTTACGGAGCCACTCCGTCAAAGCTGCTGGTCCCTCCACTCTTGAAAAGGTGGGAGGACGCATGTTTTGAAACCGCTCAATCGTACGACTGTGATCTTCACCATGAGCGGGTGGAGCCTGCTGATGCTGAGAATCTCTATGATGACCCATATCTATATGACAAGTCGAAACTTTAGCACGAGACTCAACCACTAAAGTTCAAACTAATTTAAATGAAGGAGGATAAATTCCTAAGCCCCATTCTAAAGTCAATCTTAGACTCGTGCAGAGTCATACATATAGTCACAAACTTATGCTGAGACTTATCTAAAGTCATACATAAACTTAGTATACAAGAACTTCTTAACTCATACATATGATTTCTATCATACTAGAACTGAATCACATAGTCATATCACACTGAAACTGAAACATCTCATGTAACTTTGTCTTACTGAACTGAATTACCACATAATACTTACTTCGGGGTTGGCGCGGCACGACGAAGGCGGGTGGTCAGACCTTAAAACCTTTCGAAAATTTTTCAAAAGTTCTCTAACTTTGAAATCTTTTAGCTAAAAAAAAATTGCAAGTCTACAGAACCATAGACCCGCTCTGATACCATACTGTAACGCCCCGTTATTTAAAAGATAAAATACCGAATATTTTTCTAAAAACCAGAGTTTATTTTTCGCAAATCATTTCAAAAATTTGTGTAACGGGCATTACTTAATCTATCTCAACTTCGACTGACATTACAAAAGCTATTATTTTTATCAAGACATTTAGAACATAAATGTTTTAAAATAAACACGTTTAACTTAATCAATCTATAATTCAAACATTCAAATTTGAATACAAATTTCAATAGAGTTTACAGAAAATATAAATATAATTAAAGACGACCACACCCATCCTCTCGTGTCCGCCGCCAGCTCGATCATCCTGAAAAAACAAAAGGGGTGAGCACCGTCTCTCGGCTCAGTGGTAAAATTCATACTATGCATCGATTCAATATAAACATAGATTGGATAAAAATTATATAAACATGCCAAACTTACTGTCTCACCACTAACTGATATCATCCCGGCTTCAAGCTTTCAAGTAAATTCGGACTAGTGACTCTTATTTCAAGCCTCCATAATTTACCCAGCTAATTAGCTATTATACGCCATTAACCTATGTTCATGAACGTCGGTATGGTTACTTACTAGTGCATTCAGCATCAACCGATACCGCTAATAAATAACTCTACTAGTGCCATTGGCATTACCCAGTCTCGCTAGTAGATAACTTAACTGATAATTATCCGACCTAGTGACTCTTATTTCAAGCCGCCATGGTAAAAGTTCAATCACCTTAGGCCCACCGGCCAACAATCACATGCATATAAAAACTATACTACCACATGTTTATAAAGACTAAACCATAGTATAAAACCCCCACCTGGTTGCTTGCTTACTTACTGACTGAACTGCTTCAAAGAACGTGCGTCTGATTGAGGGCTCAATTCCTTTTTAATCTACAAGTTAAAATTTATTCTATTTTATTATTTAAAGCGGCTTCAAACAGGCAGGCAAAACATTCAAAACATTTAGACAAACAAGGACAAGCAAGGAAAAATTGAACACTTAAGGCAGATAAGGCAAACAAGAAAACTAAGACAATTAAAAACAAATAAAGCACATCAATTTCTCTAACTCTTCTACTAACTCTATCAACATCATGTTTAAAAAAAATAATAATAATAAAAAATATATATATCAATAAGTAAAAATAAAACTTAAAGCTGAACATTAACACTTTAAATACTCCAAGTTTCGACATAATAACACCATGAATCAGAGGCTCGAACATAACAGATTAAGGCCAAAAAAAGGAACACATAATTAAGCTTTCTTTCTCTCAACCTCGAAGGCATGAAACTGAGTTTTAACACACTCTTAGTGGATTAGAGTTCTAAACAGCACAAGGCCTTACATGCTCTTTCATGCTCTAAAAGTTCAATAAAATCTAACATATGGTTGAAACTTAAGCATGAATACACCAACTACATCACATACTTTCAGCAGGTAAATGTACTGAAACTGGGGCTTAACAACATGCACCAAAACAGGACATCAACAAGGCTCAACTCAACATATATGCATTCTCTTTTCTCATCAAAACTAAGGCATGCTTTCTAACTTCAGAACTGGAAACTAAACATTAATATTCAACATTCACTCATCAAATATCAGCCTCTTAAAAGACATGCCCAACAGCCTTTATGAATTGAAAAATAAACAAGGCCAAAAGACCACATAAACATTCTCTCTTACATCTGTAACTTCATCGTGCTCAACAATTTATCAAGGGCTGAGGTATATTTCTTTAGAGGCTCACAATAACAGCATATCTAAGGCATACAAAAATCTCATCCTACATTCAGAACAAACCAGCCCTAACTCTCATGATATAACTCAAAATAATATGTCCCTTATTCTCGAAGTTTAACTGAAAGTACATGGGCTCTCCAAACTGAAAAATAAGCACATAAAAGCATAGGATTTTGGCCAACAAAAGTACAAAGGGGCTTAGCCAATATACCTTTCTTCGAGTATAACAACGGGGCAAGAACGTTGACTGAGAGGGCTCGGGTGAACAGGTGCGAGGGACTCGGCCTCGAATTGCTGCTCGCTTGCTCTCAACTCGGGGTATGGTACTCACTGTCCGGTAGCTCGGTTCGTCGGATTGCCGGAGGTCCAATGTCACAGTCGTCGCCGGTAACTGGTGGCTCTCCCGTGCTGTTCGTTTGTCAATTGGTGGCCCTCGGTCGACAATCACTAGTCTCAGCCGCACATAGAGCTCGCCGGAAATCTGATACTCTGCCGTTAAGGTTGG